GGATCCTAAGTTTATTGGGCCATATCATATTTTGCAGAGAATTGGTGTTGTAGCTTATAGAGTGGTGTTACCGCTTGAACTTTTGAATTTGCATGACGTGTTCCATGTGTCGCAACTTTGCAAGTATGTCTCGAATCCGTCTCATGTGATTCAGAGAGATGAAGTTCAAGTCCGGGAAAATCTTACTGTTGAGACGATGCCGTTGAGGATCGAAGATCGTAAAATGAAACGACTCCGAGGGAAGGAGATGCCTTTGGTGAAAGTGGCTTGGGGAGGTGCTGCAGGAGGCAGTGTGACCTGGGAATTAAAAAGTAGGATGCGGGAAGCGTATCCAGAATTGTTTCCATCAGGTAATTTTCGAGGACGAAAATAATTAAAGTGGGGGAGATTTGTAACACCCATTTTAATTATTTAGTCTTTTGGTGTTATTTTATTTCGGTGAGTCTTCATGCAGGGGTGTGTCTGAGTGCGCTGGTGAGTGCCCTTAATTATGGAAATCATTTAATAAATTATAGAATTTAGTATTAATATAAAATGATTAGTAATGATAATAATTTAATAATAATAGTAATATTGTTATTCTATTGTTATTATTATTATTATTATTTGTATTATTATTAAATTAAGAAAAGAAAATATAATGGTAGAGGGAGATTAGAAAAGGAGAGAAGAGAAAGTGGAAATAGAAAGAAAAGGAAAGAGGAAGAGAGAAAGATTAAGGAGGAAGAACAATGAGAAAGAGAGAGACAAGGCTAAGGCTATCAAATTCTTCAGGATTCTTCGTCAGTCTGATCAATTAATCGAGGTATGGGTGTGAAACTTTGTGATTCTATCCATGCATGTGATTATGTAGGGATTGTTGGGATTGTTTGGGTGTTTTTGTGTAGTTTGCCATTTTAAGTCGGAAATGGTTTAATCGGTAGAATTGATGTTTTATCGGGTAAAATCTGGATTAAGTCGTGTAGTTTAGTCGGGAAATGTTGGGCTAAGACTACAGGAACTAGTTTGGTGAAAATCGGGTAATTTGTGAGCTTCTGATGATTTTTGGACAGTTGGGGTTTTGCTGTATCGCAGTGTTCGCTAGGCGAGCAGCTAGCGAACGAGCCAGCGAGTGTTCGCTAAGGCTTCGCTAGGCGAGCTGGGTAGAGAACCTTTCCAGTAGCCACTGTCTGCCTTCGCTAGCGAGTTCGCTAGGCGAGTGAGGCAGCGAGCGTTCGCTGAGGCTTCGCTAGGCGAGGGAGCCAGCGAGCATGACAGCAACTTGTTTTATTTTTGTTGTTTCCATCCAATGTTGATGTTTTCGATATATATAATGTATAGCTTGTGTGCTGTATTATGATATACTGAGGGTAGCCGTATGGCGTGAATCCTAGATTGTAAATTGTGAAGTGTGAAATGTAGCCTTTTGGCAAATTGATCCCTTTGGTCATGATGGGTATAGATATGGTGTTTAATGGTGAAGAGTGTATACTTGGTGTTAAGATGTGAATTCCCTAATATTTAATGTAATTAATATAATTGATTGGTGCGTAATATATATATATGATGCATGGTGATGTGATCAGGAGGATCGTGTGCACTTAGTGTGCTTGAGTTTATTTGTTGTGCGTATGGTGTTGTGCATATCATGGTGTTTTAGTGGGATGAATCGTTGCTCAGGAGGAGTGTATGCGATTCACCCGTACTCCTTTGTGGAGAATGGTGGGATGGATCGTTGCTTAGGAGGAGTGTATGTGATCCATCTGTACTCCTTTGTGGAGGATGGTGGGATGAATCGTTGCTCAGGAGGAGTGTAAGTGATTCATCCGTACTCCTTTGTGGAGAATGGTGGGGATAGATCATTGCCAAGGAGGGGCGTATGTGATCTTTCCTGGGTTCGATTGAATGAACCAATGAGTCGGTACCGCATGCATGGTGTTGAGTTGCATGTTTGCATTATTGCATGTCGTGTTTGATTTTGGACAGTAGGTCGTGGTTGATGCATGTTAGGTGATATTTTATATAATTACTACTTTTGATCATGTATCTTATTACTGATAATTTTTATCATGTTTCTCACCCCTTTGTTGTTGTGGTGGTCTGTGCTTCTTGGGAAGTACAGATAATCCAGGTACATAGCGAGCTTGGATATTGGTGTGCAGGTCGAGTCTTAAGATGCTCTGATACGTAACACGAGACTTGGGTGTTTACTTTTATTATGTTGAATTTGTTTTATTCCTGTGACGTATCATATTCTGGGTGAACCTTGTTAATGAATGACTTTATGTAATTTGGCGGATGGCCGAGAGTGTTGAATTAATGATTACTTCCGCTGTTTTATTTTGAAAATCATCTATTGATGTTGAATTATTTAAGGTGATATCCCACTTTTGAGGAGAAACTCTGATATTTACTTAAATTAATTGTATTTTATTTTAATTTTGGGAAGTGGGGTGTTACACAATGTATCTACTTACAAGATTTACTGCATATGCTATGTTGGGTCAAGCACAAACCATAACATACATCAAAGAACTCACTATATTAGCATATGGATTGCTATTCATAGAAGTTCTTTCGACATCAGTGTTGGAACACCGATCTATACTCAACTTGAATTGAGGGTTTGTCAGAGTCACTACAGGCTTTGAATTCGACATACCATACTTTTCGAAAATCTTCCGTAGGTATGCCTCTTGAGATAAGTATAATTTCGACTGCTTTCTATCTCTTCGGATGTCAATCCCAAGAATCCTGGACGCAACCCCCAGATCCTTCATGTCGAACTCCTTATTGAGTTCAACCTTCACCCTCATTACATCTTCGACATTGTTGCTTGATATTAGAATATCATCCACATAAAGCAACAAAATAACAAATGAATTACCAGGTCGAAATCTAAAGTAAATACAGTGCTCAAACTGACTTCTAATAAAACTTATGCGTGTCATGAACTTGTCGAATCTCTTATTCCACTGACGAGGAGATTGTTTCAGTCCATATAAAGATCTATTCAGTTTGCACACATAATCTTCCTTCCCTTTTCGACATACCTCCAGGTTGCCTCATAAGGATTGTTTCATTTAGATACCATACAAGAACGCAGTCTTCACATCCATCTGTTCCAGTTAAGGTTGAACTGTGCCACTGTGCAAGCAACATTCAAGTGGATATGTGCTTCACAACAGGAGAGAACACTTCATTGAAGTCGACACCTTCTTTGTGAGTGAACCCCCTAGCGACCAATCTTGTCTTGTATCTCTTCGACGCCACTCCTTCGATCTCTTCCTTAACTTTGAAAATCCATTTACAACTGACTAACCTGACTCCAACAGTTTTCTTGATCAGTTCTCAGGTGTTGTTATCATGAAGAGATTTCTTCTCATCATCCATGGACTTCAGTCATTCAGTCTTCTTTCGACTCCTCATAACTTCCTTATAGTCTCTAGGTTCTTCGTCTAGAAGCTCACTTGCAGAAATTAAGGCATGCGCTATAAGATCTGCATACCCAAGTCTCTGAGGTAGTTTGATGAGTCTCCTCGATCTGTCTCTTGCTAGCATGTAATCATTATCAATCTCCTCATCTTCGACAACATCTTTTGTGTCTTCTTCGACTTCATCTGAGATACGCAATTCAGCATCAACATGCTCCACCTTAAAAGGAATCTCTCCTTGTTCCAGCTCTACGCGTTTACATTTATATCTTCTCCTCTATACATTATAAATTTTTAAATATTTTTATTAGACTGTTTTTCCACAAAATATTAACGAACTTTTATTATTAAAAAATTATTCAAAATATTTGAGTTATGTTTCTTAGAAGACAAAATTGTAAATCGAAAAAATGTTAGAAAATAATTTTAAAATTTTAATCACAATTGACCGTGACTTAACTGCAAATTTATAAATAATGTTTTAAATTATCATAATTACTTCCTCTAATCTTTATTTTAAGAGAAATTTTATTTTTTAAGAAAATAATTAAAGTAATTGATTTATATATGAACTAAATTGATTATTAGTAAATTTTCTTTTATAATAGAAATAAGAGAAGGGAGTATAATTTAAGAAATATACAGTTTAGTTATGTTTTAAGTCTTTGTTATAAAATTTGCATCAATTAAGGATGTCAGTTTATATATGTTTCCGTAACAGATATCAAGATCAAGAAAATAATTGAAGGGTGGAGCGGACAATGAGAAAGCATCATCCGCACATTTTCTTCCTCGTTAACATCCCTAACATCCTCCGCACTCCATCAAACAAGGTAGCTGATTACAAATTGACAAACATATGCAAAAATAGTGTGGAACCAATCAAAAGTGAATCTTCTGATATCTATATGTTCATCACTAAGTCAACGAAATTGTGAGATAATAATCACTTCTTGCTCATTCAAGACACTAATGAAATAACACATGCCTCTCAAAATAATATGAATACATGAATTTTTTACATCTTATGTACTAAAAGAAATCCCTCACTCAATGTAAGAGAGGCCCCCAACAAATGCAAGAATGGTGCAAAATACATTTCTTTCTATATTACCCCATTTTGAACTTTAATGCTACCTTCCAGAAAAAAGGTATACAGTATATACAGAATATTTGAAGTTATTCTTCATTGCAGCTTCTAATCACTCTCAAGGGTGCAACAGTAATTGCACCAATAATTTGAACCAAATAGCAACATTGCGCGAGCTCCGGTTTCAGACCATATATTCAGCAAGCAGCAGCAAAAGTTCGTACCTAATAACTTCTACGATTCTGTTTTGTAGAGGAAAAACAAGATGTTACTTTTAGAACTGTCTTACAAATTCATCCAAGTTTTCTTTTTCTTGTTAGTTGTAAAGTAACATACAAATTACAATTGAGACTTTATATGCAAAGTTTATTTCATAAAGTTGCAGCCTCTGTTGTCAATATCAGAGGACTATCGTCACGCCATGGACTGTTAAAAACAAGAAATGTTAATAAAAAATAGTGTACCCGATTGTACCTTCATCTTTTCAGCAGAAGCCATCATGCATATGAGACGATCAACGGTTCTTCGGCGTCTATCCTAGATTTTTTCTCATAATGAAAGTATAATATCAACTGGATGGTTCCCAAAATGGTTCCTATCCCATTTGGCACCTATAAAATCCAGCAGAGAGGCACAATTGAGACAAAAGGATATTTCAAGAATAAATAGAAGAAAAAAAAAAGAAGACGCGAAAGGAACTTACATAAATGAAAATATCATCGCTGAGTAATCCGTAGACTAAAAAAGAAGTGCTCATTAGGAAGGTGCAAAGTGAGAGATGAAACGGCATGAATTCAACACTCTTTGTCTGAATAACCAATTTCTGCAAAATTCGTATAAGTAGTAGTAATGTAAGTGATTCGTCTAGGCTCAAACTAATAGATACAGCACATCATTAACTGTTTGTCTGAAAAACCAATTTCTGCAAAATTCGTATAGGTAGTAATCAGGGTCGTCTTTGAGGGCGTCTAAGGCAGACTACCTCATAGGGTTCAAAATTTGTTACAGTTAAACCATGGTTAAATAGGGTTTCATAAAGTGTTTGTCACAGTTAAACCATAGTTAAATAGACCTCCATTTGTTGTGTTATCATAAAACTACGATTAATCTACACAGAGTCTCCAAAAACTCGAGACAACTCTGATAGTAATGCAAGTGATTTCATCTAGGCTCAAGCTAATAGATTCAGCACAATATTAACTATATATGCAGGAAACAACATACTTACAATTATAAACAACGGAGAAGCAAACATCGAAATCAGAGATGCACAACTCAAAACTCCAACAAATAACCGGCGCATTACAATGTCGTCGATTCGCAAACTTCCAATCAATATGATTGCAAACACGCCAAGAACAACCATCAACCACGCAAGCATTTTCACCTAACGAAAAACATGAAACACAACACAACAACTTAGAAACTAATCAACGATTTTTTCATCTTTATCATATTACAAACCTTCAAAACAAACCTTGTTTTCTTTCTCAGCACACATCATGAAGAGGATTATGTACACAAATTGAAAAACCGCTCCAATTGAATTAACAGTTGTAACCAAAATATTATCATGTGAAATCAAAGGAGTTCCATACCACAAACAGATTAAGCAGTTCATTAAGGAGTAAATGTATGGTAACCCTGAGAACATTTCGGTTGACCCATTTCTGATAATTCTCCTAAATGTAGGTCTGAAATTCAAAATTGACATAATGAAAAATAAACATAAACTACAACTTCAAAATGAGCACAATTATTCAAAACTTACATGGGAGATACAAATAACCCAAAAGCAAAGATGTTACCTACAAACAAGCAAAAATATTCATAAAATTGAAACCAAAAACAAAGAAAAATTGGTATAAATCATCAAAAAAGTAAGAGAAAGAAAATACCAGCAATTCCAGCTGCATCTTTGGCAACTTTATAAATAGCAAGTGAAGCAAACATAGACATTTATCTTTCAATACAAGAACACAATTGACTAGAAAAACTAATCAAAATCCTGAAATTTTGTTGTTGAATATTAAATTTGAGACAAATGATTTTGCTCTTTATTTGCCTCTCAAATAAATAAATTTTCTTACCTTTGATAGCTAATAGACAGAAAATTATGAATGAAATGTCAAATCTTGTACTTGAGGAGGGTATTAAATACTAGCCTCATTATATATAATATAATATTTGTATATGGCTATAAATAAAGTGAAATGAGATATGTACACCTAAATTCGATGTTACAAAGCTGTTTCTTTGTAATTTTAAGGTATACAATTGGTATTTGATGCCAAACATGATGTCTAAATTTGAGTGTTAAAATATAGCTCATAAACACCGAATTAATTCAAAACATTATTAAATAAAATTTTGAAATTAAATAAACTTTGATTCTATATTAAAATTTCAAATTGGATTTTAAAATTAAGCGGTACAAACCACAGCAGATAGAGTGCTTGCAGCGGTCATTATCACAAAAAGTGCCACATTTCCACTAGCAAAGCAAATAAATGATCAAATCACTTTGCTCATTATCTATTAATAGAATTCTTAATTGAAAGAATAAAAATTACGCACCGTGCAAGATATGTTACGATATTACTAGCTGTGCCTGCGGCCGATAAAAGAGAGTATATAAAATAGGTGAAAAAGGTAGACAGAAAGCATATATCACGAGATGAAAATTCATACCCCCTGGACAGCATCCAACTAATATTAAACCAGCTGCATAGTGTGATGGAAGATTTAAGAGTTTGCTTACAAGAAATGCTGATATTGGCATCACCTGAAAATATTCACCATGGTATCAACTTCATAAAGAACAACGGTTTGGAATGCAGGTAATGATTTTTACACATAACACAACATTGGTTATAATTACCGAAATGAAAGTGATTGAATATAAACACACATTGACATTCAAACTAAAGTGTTTGTGCTGTCTATAAATTTCATAGATCAAATAAAAATTCTTGTGTTAACTTCTCTATTTTCAGTCCGTGTCAGACATTGACTTCTTTATGACACTGATACTGACACTACGTGTCAGTGTCATTGTCGGTCGATGTCTTGTCATGAACTGTGCTTCATAGGCAACAAGAAAATCAAACTTTTACCAAGGTCATATCCTTTTGCATTAACACCTTCATGAAACTAGTAAATTTGAGCTAGATAAGTAGCATACTAACCGAATATTGAAGGAAAAAACCAGATAAAACTTCTTTAGGCATACAAAAAGCAGAACGAAGATCATCAAGAGTTAAAGTCATACCCATACCAAGCATAATTACACTAAGTCCCACTGTACACAGTTTAGGAGTGACCCAATTCAATGAACTCGGCCTCACCAAACCCAGCACACACCCAACCGTTACCCACAATGGAAAAGCCGTGGATATTGCCTCACTACCAACCTCAATCCACTCCCTAACACTTCTTCGTTCATCTCCACTAAAACCGTTTGATGAAATGCCGCAACGAAGTGGACATACTTTAGAGTCATATATTCTGTCAGATCTTGATGTGGAAGGAAATAATAACAGTGATTTAGGTTGATTCAACAAAATGGGTTTAGAATTGCGGTTTCTGTTGATTATTCCGTTTAAACGTGGAGAGAATGCAATTGATGTCTGCATTTTTATCTAACTGCAAAAAATTTGTAGCTTTTCGATCTTTGATATGTACCTAACATGTAGAAGTGTTACTCGTGATGAACCTAACAAGTGCGGATACAGATGCCATTGGGGACGACCGCCGGAGCCATGGGTGGTCTAGCTGCCCAACGCCACCGCTGGCCCCAACTCAATTTCTACTCTATTTGTAACTTGTTTAGCGGTTAAAGAAAGTATAGAGGAAACAAAATAAAATTAAAAAAGAAAGAAGAAAGAAAGAAAGAAAGATTAGTAATTTGGTGTTAAGAAAAATGGAAGTAAAAAGTTATAAAATATATCTATGTATTTATATAATGACATAAATATTAATTTCAATAATAATTAAATTACAACATCATCAATCTAATAGTAAATCATCATGTAAGAACCAATATTTTCAAAATTAAATCAAAAATGTGAAATATTCGAATTAAAATTTAATTGATTTAATCAGATTCAACTACTTATAAAATAGACTAATAATATTAAACTAAATACATATGTCATACACGATCATACTTTTACAACTTAATAAAATAAATACTTTAAAAATTCATTACAAATTCAATACATCATTATCAATCATACATATAATAACTAAATAGTTGTACACTTAATTTTAACCTTTATTTAAGAATAATATAAATAAATTAAAAAATTAAAATAAACAAATTAAACTAATTCAAATCAAAATTAAAATAATAGAACATAATAACTAAAATAAAGTTTAAATAGTTAAAAATACCTAAATTAAATAAGATTGAACTATAAAAATAAATAATACAACATATTTAATTAAACAATAATAATTAAATTTTGAGTTGAACGACATCAAACAAAAATTCTTTTTTATAATTGAGGAATATTTTAGATTTTGATATTGACATATTAATTTTTCTTTAAAATTTAAAAAATGACTTATTTGATATATTTTTTTAACCGAACGGTTTTACAAAATTGACTCCAGTTCTTTGATTCGAATGATTCAATCTGGTTTTTCCGATTTTGACCCACTTGTAGTTTTAAAAGGTTAACCATAACAAATTCAACGCAGGTTCTCAGTCCAACCAGTTGAACTGACCGATTCAGCCCGGTTTTTAAAACATTGGTAAGAACACTTATATATCAAATTTAATCATAATATTTGTTATGAATAGGATGCCTTGAAACAAAATATAAACGATTTCTTTATAGAAAAGAAACACAAAGGGTTAGGGTTAACAAAGAAAACAAGGGAAAACAACAAGGATTGGTTATAAGCTGTTGTTCTTTCTTTTATCTATCAAACAAGATTACAAGAATAACAAATAACCTATCTCTCTTGAATAAGGATTTTATCTTCCTATTTTTTCTTATACCAAGATAAGAGACTAGTATGCTATTTATAATAAAAATAACACACTAACATAATGGGCTTTTTAACAATTACTCATTACAAGCTAACTTAGGGTACAAGCTAACTTAAACAATTGAGCTTACAAGCAATACCCAATTCAACATACTAACAACCAAGCAATATTGACTAATGCATGTTAGAGCAAACTTCGACTACAACACCCATTACTCGCGAATAGAGACGTCCCGACCATCGGAGACCGACGAGAGGGACAGCCGGACCGCATCCCCTTCATCCGCGGAAGCTGCGCACCAGGCTGACCACCGATCCCGAAGCCCGACAGCGTTCCAGCCGGTTCTCGTATCGGCCAGAGCAGACCCGACTGTGGCCGCCCTCTTCGCAGCCATCAACCAGACGAACCAGCTGTTATTCTAACAGAACGCACGAATTGGCGCACTAGAGCGTGAGGCCCCGCTAAGGTCCCCTCCGCGGGAAGACCAGAACGAGAACTCAAGGAGCCCTTCGCCTCGCCCCAGAGGTCGACGACCCTGGCTGGAGAGGCCCCGAAACGAAGCAGTGTGGGAGCGAACCAGATCCCCAACAAGACAAGTTCGCGAGAGACGGAAAAACAGGGCAGAACCCCAGACCAGGCCCTCACGCGTCGAACCCCTTGTCAGGAGTCCGAGGGGCCGAAACCAGGTGCCTCTACCAAACGGCCCATCCCCCCTCGATCACCCTCTCTCAGCGACGAAGAAGACTACATGACTCCTTTGTCCCGGGAAATCATGGTCGCCCCCATACCCCATGGGATGGGGAAGCCCCCGACACTCTCGACGTACGACAGCACCTCCGACCCAGACGATCACCTGGAAGACATTGAGGCCATGCTCGACTACTGAAATGTCCGAGGAGCTATCAAATACAGGTTATTCCCGACGACCCTGAGGAAAGGTGCCATGACGTGGTACAAAAGTCTGGAGCCCGAATCGATTACGTCTTGGAGGGTTCTGAAGGACCTGTTTTCAAAACACTTCACAGCATCTCGGCGCCATCCGAAGACGGAAGCCGCACTCGGCGCGATAATCCAAGCTCCCGACGAGCCTCTCCGAAAGTACATCGAAAGATTCACACGGGAGGCAGTGCAGGTGACGACGTCAGAAAAGATGAAGCGTTACCTGATGGAGCAGGGTCTGCGCCGCGAATCCAAGTTCTACGAGGCCGTGGGCATAAACCGCCCAGCCTCCCTACAGGACTTCCTCGATAGAGCTGCGCATTATATCCGGTTCGAGGAAACCCAAGCAGCCAACTCTGCCCGAGACACACGAGACAGGGAGACCCCCCGCGGGCATCGAGAGGACGGAGCTACGAGCCACCGACGCGGAGGTGATCGCGCGACGGGAGAACCGCCCACGCAAGCAGCACGGTCCCGCCGGACGATTCACAGAGTATACGGCCCTAGTCGCTTCCCGCAAGCGCATACTGGCCGAATGCGCCAAGACCGAATTTGTCCAAGGAGGTGTCCGCTTCCCCAGACCGACACCCCCCAAACCTAACGTGGACAAGTCGAAGTACTGCCATTTTCACATGAGCCACGGGCACGTTACAGAAGACTGCATCCACCTCAAGGACGCGATCGAAATCTTGATCAAAGACGACCACCTGAAGAGATACACCCGGGGAGGAGAAACCCCGAGGCAAGACGCCCCCGAGGCAAAGAAAGTCGAAGAACTTCCTTCTTCAGACGGCGACAACGGCCTCCAGGTTGCCCTCTGCATCAGCCGCCCTGAAGATTGGTTCGCCCATAAAGAATTCGGTTCCCCGGGCGGCCCCGAGCTACCCGACGAGACAGTACGCCCCACCAGTCGATGGGAATACTTTCCAAGAGCCATGGTCATCTCCGGCGGCTCCACGGGGAACGTGTCCGTGGGATCGGTGAAGAGAAAGTTCGAAGAGCTTATCACGAGCAACTCCGGCAAGATGAGCACTCTCGAAAAATTCTGCGGCCGATCCAATCCGATCACCTTTTACCTCGAGGAACTTCCTGGGGGTTCCCCCAATTCCAACATTCCCCTGCAGATACGTGTAACGCCCCGATTTTGATTATTACGTTTTATTGAGTATTTTATTTGATTTGAGTGATAATTGTATTAGTTGTGAACTTGATGTGTTAATATGGTATGTTTTGATACTTTTACCGTTTCAAAGAGTTTTCGGGTAAAATTAAAATTGGAGGGTATTTTGGTCATTTTACATTTAATAGTGAGAAAATATATATAATAGAAATAGAAATAGAAAGAAAGATATATAAGAGTAAGTAAGAGAGAAAGAAAGAAAAAAAAAAGAGAAATAGAGGGAAAGAGAAAAGAAAGAAGGAAGAAGAGAAGAAAAAGAGGAAACTTGGGGAAATCATCAAGAACGCTTGCTAGGAATTGAATAATCGGGTAAGGGGTGTGAAATGTTATTATCTTACCAATGTATATGATTATGTATGTGTGTGTTTGGATTGTTTGGATGTTTTTCCATTTTAGGGCAAGAATGGGTTTAATCGATAGAATCGATGTTTGAACGGTTAGAAGTTGGATTAAATGGTGTAGTTTAGTCGAAGATTGTTAGGCTAAGACTATGTGAACTCGTTGGAATTGAATAGGGAGATTTTAAGGTAGCAAAGAGGGGAATAGTTGGTGAAAAATACAATTTTCTGCATCATTTTTCGAAAACATACAGTAAGCAATCGATTGCACCAAGTGAGCAATCGATTGCACATCAAAACAGTGGCTAAAATGTGAAAAATTGAGTCAAGCAATCGATTTCACTAATACAACAATCGATTGCATGCTGTATCAAAGCTGGAAATTGGAAATTTCTATTCCGACGATTTTGGCCATAACTTTTAATCCGTAAGTCGGTTTTAGTCCTCGTTAGAAGCGTTGGAAAGCTAATGAATAGACCAATAACATAGTATAGATAATATAATTAGTTACCAAATATTTTTATATCCAATATGTTTGGGGAGTCATTGCTTAATTAAATCTTAACTAAAACATGGTTTAATTTGATTATTTACTTGAGTATTAATTGATTGTAAACCATCGGTTGGTTATTGAGATATCAATTGTTGTTTAACAAGTTGATTGTGTATTGAACATTGAATTCAATTATTGGTGATGGATTAATTGTCCTATGTGTAATCGTTGAATTGTGTTGTGAATTGTGAGGTGTGAAATGTGGCCGTTTGGCATAATTGCTGTGAATACATATTGATTGTATGCGATAGAATGCACGAGAAATATATTGTGAATATATGTGCATTGCTTGGTAAATGTGAGAATGATGTTGAAAATATATATATGTGCAAGAGTCGTAATCACTGGGGTAGAATAACCAGATGTTGTTCCTAGTGAGGTATAAGTGATATAGTCGTACTCACTGGGGTAGAATGACTAATGTGTCGTTCCTAGTGGAATGATCTCGGGGTAGAATAACTGAGATGTTCTTCCTGGTAGGGTACAAACGATGTACCCATAACCCCAAAAAGGGGATTTGTGGTAATTGATTCCTAGGAGAATCTGCTCAATGGTAATTGATTCCTAGGAGAATCTGTTGAATGGTAATTGATTCCTAGGAGAATATGCTGAATGGTAATTGATTC